AGGGAAATTTTAAAAAAATAGAACAAAATTCATGTGAGATAAAATAAAAAAGCTTCATGATCAGAAAGGCAGACAAGGTTCTTTGGGTAAATCTGATTTTCTTTTATTAGACCAACTAAGATAGTTGGAAATATTCTTCTTTGCAAGCTTTCGGATACTGATGCTTCCTCAGCCTGATGAAGGGTGTTTGTACCCAAAAGCCTGTAAAGAAGTATTTTTCCAACTATTCTAGTTTGTCTACTATAAAAGATTTTGGATTTACCCAAAGAACCTTGTCTGTCTATGTCCTTAGACCAGGGATTTTCAACCTTTTTGGATCATTGTACCCCCCGGTGGCTGGACACGGGGCAGTGTACCCCTGGCCGCCAAGCAGGGGGGGAGGGGGAAAGTGGTGCGTGGCCAGATGCTGAGTGGCAAGGTTGGGGCGTGGCATGCACCCAGATACCAAGTGGGGGTGGGGGAAGGCGGGTGCCATGCAGTCGGATGTGAAGCGGTGGCAGCCGCCATGTGTGAGCTTCCCCCACCCCTCCATGTCTGGCCAGGCGGACGGTGCCTGCACGGTAGTACAGGATTGTGCATGGCAGTGCTCCGTCCCCGAGGGCCTTCTCAAGTACCCCCAGGGGTATGTGTATCTCCAGTGACAACCCCTGCCTTAGACCAACACGGCTACAACCTATATCCCTGAACCATAATCAGAAAGAGCTTCAACAAAACACCAGGAAAAATCCCGCTCTCTGAGTTTCATTAAGGGTGTTTTTGGAAGGATTCTAGGCAAATATCATTTGTGTAGAAGCACGGCAAGCTGACTATTTCTGCAGCTCATAGGCAAGTAGGGCTGGAAGGCACTTCACAAGGTCATCTAGTCCATCCCCTGCTCAAGGCAGGGTCAGCTCTGACTAAACCACCCCAGCCAAGCGTCTGTCTAACCTCCTCTTGAAAACTGCCAAGAATTCCACATTTGCTCTATGTAGCCCGTTCCAGTGCTTTGACCACTTTCAGAGTCAAACAGTTTCTCCTAATCTCAAACCCAGTTTCCCCTAGTGAAGCTTGAAGCCATTGCTTCTAGTCTTGTCCCCTAAGGTCACAGAGAAAAGCCCTCAAAATAGCAGATGATCCTGCTGCAAAGAGTTTATAAACTAAGTCCTTGATCTTTCACTAAGGTCCAGGCAGGCAACATCCCTGGACCTTCACACAGCTGTATGGAAAGCCTTGCAGGGTTGGACTTTGATAATAAGCTGTGCGTTAGGAGCAACAGAATTACTGATTATTATTAACCTAGAGACTAGCCCTAATTGTCAGTAAAAGAATTAGCATTTTTTCAACCTCCTTCTCCCAATGATCTTTATAAGTCTCATACCCTCCATTGGATTTAAAAGGTGCATCTGCAGCCTTTGTCGCCTCCAAATGTCTCTATTAAAATAGCTTCCTAACATTGGCAAGCCCTGGAGGAGATGATGTGCTAGCACAAAGGACTCCAGGAAGCCAAGGAAAAAAATGAATCTTGGAACCTGAGGAGAGAAGCCTAGGCAAGAAGGCATCTAAGTCAGATGGGGAGAGCCGTCCCAGCAAGGAGGCTGGAAGTCTGACCTTTCCTGGGTATTTCTAATGTCCTTACAGGATGTAAACTAATTACTGTATTTAGCTTGAAAAACAGCCCCTCACTACATTGACTCACTTCCCCTTTTATAACAATGAGCTCTGAAAAGCCCAAGTGTTTTTTGCCAGTTTTCCCTGACTTCTTCCCAGGCAAGTGCCATCTTTATGCTAACTTTCCATGTCTCATATATGATTTATCAGCTGTTCCTGGCCATGAGAGCTGTTCTTTTTTACTACGTCCACCAACAAACTGGAGCCTTCTCATATCCGTGCCACTCAGAGATGAGGTCACTCCTGTTTTCCAAGGGAGGGCTCTAGCCAGCTGCCAGGTGGGAGGAGCAGCTCCTTTGGCAATGGTCAAACACCACCTCTGATCCTTCAGAAAGAAAGAAGTGAAGTAATAGCTTCCTGAGGATGCATAGCCTGAAGCAGGGAGGGGGCCCAGGTTATATTACAGTGCACACAGTGCAGTATAGCGGACAAACAGCTTGTTGGTTGGGAGTTTCAGGATTGCAAGGAGCTTGGTGCCTACCTCCCAAAGGCACCAGAAACTGAGCAGTCCGTCCAGAGGCCATGGAGAGAAACACTAAAGCCAAATTCTTTTGAGAACCAATACTGATAATGTCACTTGCATGCATGCAAGTTAGGATAAATGAGTAACCAAATGTCACACATCTGCCAATTGCCTGCAAGGGATCAGGAAGGAATATTTCCTCCCAATCTTACCTCCCATGCACCATTGCACCATTGGGGCCGGACCTGGTGCTGACCAGCTCCAGGGCCTATTTAAGGCCCAATGATCATTTTGCACAAAATGGCTGAAAATTTCTCTATTAAAAAAAAAAAAAAAAAAAAAAAAGGAGGTTGTGGG